CCAAAGAGATCTCCGTATTAATTGATGAGATATATTCCTTCTTCACGCGGATTCAAATAAACTGTCCAAGAAATTCTCAGGAAATTACTGGAAATTATTTAACAGATTTCATGACTTTAATTTCTCATCCTTTAGAAGTTTAATATATAACACACATTGACTAAATCTGCTCCATTTTATCCTATGATAAAATAATTTCACGCTAAATTAATTGCCTCGCAAGCGATGCAAATCTCTCTATTTCGCTAAATGCAGACAAATTATAGCTCTTATCAAGGCATGTTATATTTATTCACTAGCAAGATAAACTATTAAAACACACCCAATATTGTGAATTATCAACTTTGCCTGGGGATGAATTTAGTTAAATTCTTGACTCTCAAATTAAAACTATATACTTATATGTAAGTGAAACTCCTGCAGAAATTCACCCTCAAAACTTTCCTGTTATTTCCAGTATTTAAACCATCTTTTGAGGAGTTTTGGGAAGAGTGAATGGTCAGAATTGCTTTCATAACTTAATTAAGTGTCAGACTATATTCCCAGATGGAATTACTAATGCTCTGCTGGCAGAGGGAAAACTTTCATGATCCCCACGTCAGTAATCACCGAAAATCGCAGAATGATTGAATAGAGAGACAAGTAATTGATTGAATTTGTCGTTGTGAATGGAACCTTTTGTCAATCAATATATGTATCTCTCACCTGACTTTGCGGCCCAAGACGCCGCTTTCTATGGACTGTGAATTAGTTTCTTTCGCAACTTGATGTGTTTTCATGGGGCGCAAATAACTGGGTTAGTGTTGTACAAAAATTATGATTTATGATGGCATTCCTGGGAGGTTTTTCACCATCCGCTTGGCGCTCAGGAGTCGCACAGTGGCTCTAGACGCGCCTGCAAATGGGGTTTCTGGGTAATTTACTGTCGCTGTAGTTAATTTAGAGTCATGATAATAAAAAAGCAACGAGAGACACTGCCAGAGACGCACAAGCCTGAGAAATTGTTCCTCACACGCGCTTTCCCGCCCACTCGAGGGGGGGGGGGAACTTCACACCCAAAACCCCGGAGGAAGCTGGAGAGGAGGAAAAAAAAGAAGAAAATGTTTAAAGCACACACTCCATTGTAACTTTTCACCCAACACACAAACAGGAGGCTGTGGAGGACGCCAAGGAGGGGATAATATGCCTTAAATTTGTACATAACTTCCAAACACTTCTAGAACATGAAATTTGTCATTTTTTTCCACCTTCATTCTCAAATTATAATGAATTTCTTAAGTTTCCATCCGATATTTCTGCAAGAATCGACTTTGGACCACTTTTTTTTGGGGTATTTTTTAAAACGTTACATAACCTAGAAAAAAGATTATTACGTTTGTTTCTGCATGAAAATCGAAGGAAATCCAAAGAATTCTGATGATTTGTCAGAGTAAAAAGCATTCAGGAAATGAATATTGTGGATTTTTCAACACTTTCACTTCTTAAGTACTTCTTGTTGAGGTGTACACCACTTCTGGGCTGTATTATCTCCCCCTTGAAGCACGCCTCGAGAGTGTCTCTCTCTCTCTGCGGCCCTTGAGGATCTTTTGCATCTCATCCAAATGACATTATGGATATTAAGGGCGGCGAATGGTGTGGGGGAGAAACTTTTAAATTACCCAGTAATAATAAGTTGTAGAATTTGTTTGCCATAGTCTGTGAGGCGCGCGCGGTGTGCTTGGAATTGAGAAGAGGAGAGCATCAAACCGTATAAAATTGGATTGTGAGTGAACTTTATTATTTAATTCACTGTGCGTGAGAGACAGTTTTCTCTGGGCGCAACTTTTACCTTTTTTTCCCGCCCACCTGCCAACTTCAATTTCTTCCCCCCAAAAAAAAACCGACTTTTAGCGCACACTTAGACATTTGCGAGATGTTTAAATTTCCACCAACGACCACTTGAATGTAAATATATGTCATTTTTGTGTAATTATTCATGCAATCTTCACACTCACATTTCGCGTGGATACACAAGCATATACATACATATCAATGCGTTGTATATGGGTGAAAATCATTGAAGCGGGAGGGGTGAAATCAAAGAAAAACCCCGCAGGATTCCATCTTCGCCAACGGAAGTGGGGCATCAAAGGAATACAAGATGGTTTCCTTTGCCACCCCCTAATGCATGTTCTTTCATATTGTATGACATTTCACACACATTATACGGTCCTCCCATCGCCCACAGTGCTGAAAAATCCAGAGCGGAAAAGTCTCGTTTGAAATAAAAGCTAAATGCTTTTGTGTTGGCATGTTTGTTAACTTTCTACATGTGCTGCATGATGGGGGAAAAGTCCAAAATTTAATAATATAGCTGTAACCGGGGGAGTGTGTGTGTTGAACAGATTCTGTGCTGTGCACTGAGAGGAAAAGGATCCTAACATCCTTCAGAATTCTCCAAGAAACTCCATGGAAAAATTCATTATTTCAGAAATCGGACAAACACCGGACGTGTCCATGAAAATAATAATAATGTCCATGAATATATTGATGAAAAATTAATTGAAAATCTGTTGTTTTCTGTCCTTTCCGTCCTTGCTAGAAGTTTGACGAATGTTTCCCTCGGATTCCCACAGAAAAAATCAGGTGAAAATCCATTGAGCGTAGTTCTATAAAAGTCTCTTATATAAATTTAAGAGGTGAGGAAAGACACTGGACAGTCCGACAAAAATCCGGAGGACTTATCGGACTGTGGCGATTTTTACTGGGATTTGTTTGTTCTCATTTTCAAACCAACAGCACTTCCTCTCAGTGTCTCAAGTTCAACCACCAGTGGGAGATTGTGTGACGAAAGTTGCAAAACAAGTGTTTGGAGAGACCATTTCAGTATTTAAGAGCTTTTTCCACATTGTATGTTTCTTTTGGGTTGTGAAACCCAATGAGTTTTGCCAAAGTGCCGTGCGGCATCGCAAAACTTTCCACCCACTCCCACGCCGTCTTTGGCTTTCTCTCCTCAACAACCAATTTGAGGGTGAAATTTAATTAAGCAATTAATTCGATTTAATATGAGATCAAGTTCACCATCGTCACTTTAGTCAAAGCATGGGGAATTTGAGGGCATCAAGTATGCGAAAACTAATGCGGCATTTCAACGTGATCCGACGCCTCAACCCCAATCGCACTCTGGCATTTTAATTTAATACCAACCCCCCAGCTCAACGGGTGTAATTTCGACACGATGAATGCGAAACACAATTATTCTGTGTTAACTGGCTCATTGTTCCAACGGTAATTCAATCATTCACTCCCGGGGACGTCGCCCCAATTTACACCCCATCCCGGAACATGAGGATTACGGCTTCTCTTCCTCACATTTCGCCATTTACACGTGCAACTTCTTCGGCGATGCCAATTCATATGTGTTATATCTCACTGGTGGAATTGAAGAAGGGGAATTGGGAACTATTCTAGATACAAATGAATTATCATATATACATTCTAACAATTATTCTATTAAGAAAAATAGATTTTTTGGATTAAATTACGAATTTAAGGTGTTAAAGTAACACATTCAGTGGTGCAAATTGGTTTAACACATGTTAACATGATTGCAAATCTCTTTTTAACACTTTAATATGATAAAACTTGTAACACAATCGACATTTTAACCCTTACATGTGTTATTGAGAATATAAAAAACTATTTTAAGCTACTATAACACATATTTGACATCCCTCTCAATCTTAGTGGGAATTGACACAAAATGAATCTGTTCTTCTAGGCTTCAAACAAAGCTTGATTTGTCATTCTTACGAGTGATATTGATTGCATTGCGAATTGTGTTAATTTCTGTGATAGTGAAATCTCTCATCTAGAATCTAGATCCATTCCAACTCCGGAATTTATGGTGTTAAATCCTTCTCACCACCCAGATCACGCAGAAATTCAAACCATCATTCTCATATCATGTGAATTGTTGATTTCTCACCCCTTCGCTACCGACGAACTCACCCCCGCATGGCTCAATCTCTTTGTGCCACTGCGATGGCCCCCCGCACACCCCCTGCGAACGGTGCTGGGATGCTGGGAGACATGCTGGGAAATCGGATGTAAAAATTTCCGAGTTACAAGCAGAGTGAATGGGAGACGACGGGGATTTATGGGGTGAGAGAGACGAGGGTGGCCACCGAGGCAGGAATTACATGGCGACCGAGTCGCTTTCTTGGCTGCTGCCCTCGCTTTTTTCGGCAAGTGCACGGCGACAGCGGCGGAAGTTGAAAATGCGGCGGTTGGGTGGCTTTTCTGCAAGTTTGAAAGAAGGGGTTGAAGATGTGCTCAGTCGAGCTGAAGATAAATCCCCTTTTGTGTGTGTGCGCCCCTCTTTTCATTGAGGACGCGCGCAACCCCCAAGCGATAGAGTCCCTGGAGTGGAAAAGCTTCCCCCATATATTCAAGTTTTTGACGAACCGAATTTCACCCATATTCTCCAATGGGCATTTCCATTCGTATAACTTTGCAACATTCACCTTTCGCAATCAATTCTGCCGGCGCACTTCTTCCAGAAAGTATATAATAATGGGCCAAGTCCAGTGAGCTTGAGTGGGGCTTTTCTCCCCATTTGGGGAGGAACTTTAATTAAATTTGTAGCATGTAATTCAAGTGAAGATGCGCCAACCCTTCAGAGATGCTCAATTCCATCGTGACTGAGATGTTGGTGGACGGGGGGCTTGAAAAGAGGGATTCAACAAGCCGTGATTTTTATTGAGTTTCTCCACTCAACTCAAAACAGAAATCCAAACGTGAATTCTCATGCTCTCTCATGCCAAAAAGTGATATTAAATTCTTTCACTCGCTCCATCTTTCACTGTCTGAATAAATATTGGAAATATCGATCTTCGCTGGGCGCAATAGAGATTGAATATCGACATCGAGGCGTAAAGAAAAAATTCAATTCAATGCGCGAGCTTTTAAAGCTTCTTCATGCACTTTTGTGTGACTTTGACTGTTTTTTCTTCTTTCAGGAGCCTTTGGCGTCACAATTCACGACATTAAAGTTCCCTCGACGTACATCTTGGATGAGGACAACGCCGAGCCTCTCGTCCTGGACTGCATCTACGATGTGAACCACCGGGAAACGGGCTTCGTCCTCAAGTGGCTCCTCAACGAGCAGTCAGTCTACCAGTGGATCCCGAGCGTGGGTCCTTTCGCTCTGCCGCTGCTGAAGAATCGCATCGATGCGTCGTACGAAGTGTCGCAAGACAGTCACCAGAAGCACCGGGCTCTGGCCATCGTGAAGCCCTCGTGGAACGTCACAGGCAACTACACGTGTTCTGTCCAGACCTTCCAGTCGTCCGATCGCAAGTCCGCCCACCTGCAAATAATTGGTGAGCATCCAGCGCTTTAACTGTGATTCGAAATCCTTAGAACGCCATTTTCGTCTTTGAGAAATACAATCGGAACTTCTTTATGCCTTTCAAGCTTTTCCACGCGGAAAGCTTCACTTTTGGGCTCAAATTTCCTCCTCTTCTGGCCAAGAACACGCCAGAAAATCAAAAAGTGTGATATTGTGAAAAATAAGACAATGTAAGCGTCCCCCACGCCAACTTTGCTGCCCTCTGGCGGCGATATGTAGATAAAACGATCGAATATTTAAATTAATTTGAAAATATTGAAATGTAAGTTAATTTACAAGGGGAAATCAACTCATTCAATCATTTTTTGTTTTTTTTCTATGATTTCTACTTAAATTTTTATTATTCTATACAAATTTTAATCGTCTCTTGATTGTGCTAAAAGAATATAATTCAATACTAGATTTTCTGGAAAAATTTAATTATTTGCTCAATTTTTAAACTTTAAAGGAATGTTCCAATTCTATTACCAAAATGTAAATTTTTACATGGTGATTATAGCACCGTATAAAATTCACTGCAGTGAGAAAGACAGGTGTAAGAGAATGTGTGCGAAGAAAAGTTTAATTTACTTTTCGTTCTTGCAGTTCCGGAGAAAAACTTTCAGCTGAAGCATCACTGCTGTGATGAGGACTCGACAGTGGACATCATCTGCAGCACTTCAGGGATTTATCCTGAGCCAAAGCTTGTGCTACTGTAAGTGTCCGCTGAAAGATCACACGGAGAATCTCTGAAAATTCCCGGGAAAATCTATTTCACCACCGAAATTCATGGGATACAAACTTTCCCGCCACACTATCAAAGGGGGAGATTTTAATTAAAACTCGAGTGTTGCCGGGAAAGTACTTCTTCTCCTCTAATTGCACTAATTAAAATACATCAAAAACCACTTTCAGCTTGAACGACAAGGCGGTTGGCAATCAGGTGGGAAATCGCTCCAAACCCGACGACGATGGACACTTTGAAGTGATCGTGAATGCACGCGTGCCACGCGAGAAGATGGATTCACCCACGACAATCAAGTGCATTCTCACGATTCCCGGCACAAATTACTCGCGCAAGAAGGAGTCAATCTTCTATGGTGAGTTCCATTTTGTACGTCATTTCAATCGAAGCCCTTTTACACACCATAAAAGACTAATCCTCATGCGTTTTCCGGGATTTTCCACTTGACGCCGCATCACTTCGTGCTCTGGAGGCTGAAATCAATTGAAATGGGCATCAGAAATTGCCGGAGATTTGTAGTTTGAAAGCTCTTTATCCTCCTTCCGTTCCAGGGATGCGTGTTTACTGAGGCCGGGTTGGGTGTCGCTCTCGAGAGCGTGTTATGTGAAAATGGGGCAATATTGTGGCAAAGACAAGATATACATACATCAGGGGCGGACAATTGGATATGTGCAAGGCAATTTATGTCAGAAAAGGAACCAAAATTGAATTTATAAGTGCGAAAAAAGGCTTTCAAGAGAGTCATTGAACTCTCTGTGATGTGTTTTCTTTTATATTATTGCTATAGAAAGCCTTTGAATATCAAGACATCAATTGCAGAGGGCGCTGTCGTCGGAAACTTCATAAATATAGGTCGAATCTTCGATATATCGAGGGATCAGTAACGTTTTAGCGATTCAACCAGCAGCCATACTCACTCGCGCTCTCGCTTAACCTCTCGTGGATCACCCGCAAGTCTGCATTCGCTCTTAAGAATATTCCATCTCTGAGTGAGATTTCTCGCAAAAGTTATTCGCCTCTGAGTGCTATATTTTAGTTTAGTATTTGGCAGCAAATAATCCAGCCCACCGACGAGTGGGATTGTAATATAAATTGAGAGAAAACACATATGTGAGTGTATCCAAAATTTATCCATCACTTTGTCGGGGGGTTGCTGATGAGTGTGGATTTTGTAGCTGTTTCGATAGTTTATCACCCGCCAGCTGGAGTTTGCATTTCGCAAGGATGGCGGAGTCACAGACAAACAAACTAATCCGTCCATTTGCCTGTTGTCACTTGAGCGATATAGTCAGTTGTTGCTCCGCGCAAAGCAATAATCCTATTTTGAATAATACTGCTATGGTTTTGAGAGCATTATGAGCAAACTGAAAGGCTACCCACACTCATGTGTCTCTCTTTGATATTATACTTCCTTACGCCCCCCCCCCATCCATCAATGCTGACGCGAGAGAGCTTAGCTTGAGGAGGAATTGAATTCATGAGGTGATAGGAAAAAATAAAAAAAAAATAAAATGGGATGAAAAATGTGAGCTGGAAGGAAGACAGTCTGGCCAGCATTAAATTGCATCTGCAGGCGGAATTTTTGCAATTAAAATCCTACCACAGATGCAACGAATATTGTGAAAAATATAATTTAACGTGAGTGGACGGATGCAGTGCAATGTGAGAAGAGCAGCAATCTAGCTCAGGAATTCCTGTGGAATTGACTCAAATTGCATTTCAATGGCGCGAGTGTGTGGCTGGAATACGGAAAGGAATGTCGGCGGTGTAGATTATAAAATTATTCAGATTTAGACTTTTTTTTTCGTAATAATATTCAGCGCAACAGAAAATTACTTTACTTTGTAACTCTTTTCGTCTCTATTTTTTTTTATTTTTGTGTCTACCATTCTTCGCTCAGGAATAATTGTTAATTGGATTTTTTTTTGTTATAAAATTCCTTCAAATTGAAAATTCCACGAGCATCGCGGCAAAGTCTCTTCACTTCAATTAAGTGGAAAAATGCAGGGTAGAAAATTAATGATTCTCGCGCTATTCAGCGTCCATTTGTAGTGCTTTTGGCAGGTTTTAAGCGCTTCAGGGACATTTTCATGCTGTGTATAAAGGATTTCTCACCCAAGGGGAGGATATTATGCAAGTTGCAAATTTTACAACAAATTTAGGCATTTTTAAAAGTTTTTTTTGCATAGGAAAATAGATTTTATTGCTTTTATAGGTTATGTTATTGATTTAAAACAGATAAAATTGTGTTTAAACTTAAACTGGGAGTATTTCTCTACTTCTAGGTGCAATTGAGGAATTTTGTTTGTTGAAAAACATTATATTTAGTGTGAAAAATCCTTAAAAGTCACTCATAACCTCAAAAATGTCATTTGAATATAGAAGAATGACTACTTTCTTAGTCTCATTCTTAGAATAATTGAGATATTCGTTAAATTTATTCATTTTTCAAGCTTAAAAAGAATTAAATTAGTTCAAGAAGGGTTTTTTTTGGTCAAATTCATGACCTCACAATTTGGTTAGAATTTTTCTAAAGCATTTTCCGAAGGAAAAACTAGAAAATGTCAAATATGAGTGTGAGAAATGGTTGAAAAGGTCTAAAAAGTGATGGAAAATACCTATGAAAAGACGTTCGGAAGTGTTTGTACAGATTCAAAGCATACTATCTCCCCCTTGTTTTTGCCTTGTCAATCTGTCGCTCTCTTTTTCCCTGCATTCCATCATACTTGCCCGGAAAGAGCCGTGATTTTCAGTGGGTCCGAAGCGTTTACAGTGGAAAATCCTCACGATTCATGTTTGCTATGGTGTGTGTGTGTGTGTGTGAAAATGCCCGCCTCCCACTAACATCATTCACATTCCAGACAGACTAACTTTTGTGCCAACAGCAATGCCTCTGGATGAGGATACAACTGCTATGTTCCGCTTAAAAGTTGCTCATGGTAAGAAAGCTCCTCCATCATCTCTGCACTAATCATTGTGGATTCACACTGAATACCAACACTCTTTTTTACCCACCTGTCTCACCTCAATTTCCCTCCTCAACTCTCAACACAGGCAGTGGATCGATGAATGGCGCGAGCATCCTTGCTGGAGTCCTTCCATTGCTGGCACTTCTTCTGCACTGGACGTAATTGATGTCTGGGCGTCAGCCACCAAAGAAAAAGGGTTGGGAGACATTTTATAAATGATTGTATTAGTTCAATGCCTTATCATACTAACTGAGAGAAGATCTCTCTCTCTCTCTCTCTCTCTCTTTCTCGCTTCATCCTGGGGTAAATCTTGCCATTTATTCAAGCTTATAGAATGCTTTTTACAATTGCTTAATTTATTTGATGACTTCAAACTCCACTTAATAATGCACATTTAGGAGTCTCTCTCTTCTCCACAATTGATCCATTATTTATTACTTGGCACAACAATTTCCCACCCCCAAAAGTACATGCTATAAATATTGAGCAGCAGTGTCACTGCATGTAGAGTGCAATATATTAGCACTTAAGAGGATTTCGGGCTGCAAACTTCCGCGCAAACCTCAAGCTTCTGGCATCATTTTGAGTGTATGTCGAGAGTCAATATCTTCATGGGGGGTTGGGCACAATCACACCCCCTTTCCACTAGACACTGGCAAGCTCTGCTGTAGTCACGGTGAAAGTATAAATTGCACAGGAGGCAAGAGAGAGAGAGAGAGAGAGAGAGAGGGTGGAAAAAGTGTAAATCATTAACTCTAATGAAGCAAAGAGGATTGTAGTGAATTAATGTGTAAATACATAGTGTTTGTATTGGAAAAATGCTCATGGCCCAGAGAGAAAGAGGGGAGCTAATGACCACAAGTCGCTGCAGCGAGTGCAAGGCTGATGTAATTAAATATTTCTTGTGCAAGTGTTGGAGACTATTCAGGCGATTTAATTAGCTGGACTTTTATTCACACCACCGAGAGAGAGAGAGACGCGCCCAAACCACCCCCAAAGCGAAATGATGCAGCCTTGCAGTCAGGGAAGCTGTAGCAAAAACACCCCATGCCAAAGAGGGCGAGAAGTGCTGAAAATATTAACTTTCCACACACACATACGTGCCCAATAAATTCACACAGAAACCAAACAGATTTCGCGCCACTATGTTTATGTACAAAGTCATTAATGTGTAAATTAATTTCTGTAAGTTTCAATAAAGAAAATCACTGCACTATTTTACTGGTCGCCTGATGAATTCACATCCGATTTCCGTATGGCTTTAACACATGATCGAGTCGCAATTGCACATGAAGCAGCATTGGAAATTATGCAGAACATTACAGAGAAAGAGAGAGAGAGAGACAACCTGAGTGACAAGGTAAGCATATTATTATTTAATAGAAATTACCAAGGGGAAAATCACTAGTCGATTATTGAGGAATCCAAGGAATCATAATGGTCTCAATCAAATATTTATTTGTACTTTGAATGTAAGAAATAAATAATTTAAATAAATCTAATAAGAAAATGATTATTTTCCATCGAGTTACTGCAATATAATCAAAAATGCAATATTCTCGGCTAAATATTCGATTATTTTCTCCACATATGGCCACTAGAGGGCATCAACGTTGGTGTGGGGGACGCAATTGATTTTCCCCTTGTAAATTTCACTGAAATTCTCTGAAAATCATTAAATTATTTGATAAACAATTGTTTTGTCTGATAATATGATTGACTATACGTAGGTATAATGACTATTATTATTATTGTTGTAGAGAAAGGAAAATTGTGTTTTGAATTTCCATGAAGAACAATTTAAAAAGGCTTTCCAATAAAGCACATTTAAGCAATAAGTGATTCACTCATTAATTAATTGTGTACCTGAAATTTGCATCTCTGGACCTTTTTGAATTGTGGGCGCAAATTGCTATTGATCCATTTCACATAGGATGCATTTTGGCAATCATATTATTCCAATTTTAATAAATGCTCTCATAATTTGCATATTAATACGATGGGTTTCGGGGTTCTTTCATTATTGTGCACTCAGCAATTATTATTTCAATGTACATTCAAATTGCAATGCCGATGAAATAGTGGAGATACTTAAGCCTTCGTGATTAATGGAAAAGGTTCTGTAATGCGCTTTTGAAGCTATGAAAAATGCTTTTAGCACCGAAGAATATCTCTGTCTCTCTCTCTTAGTGAATGGCGAAGCATTAATCAGTTGTGCTTTCTGTATTGGCTCTGCCTCACGTCGTCTTGGCTTTGAGACTTTGCGAGGGTGGTTGAGTATAAAAAGTGCCCAGGAGTAGCAAATGAGTTTTACCATGTTGTTGATTCTTTGCCAATATCTTTTCACTGGGAGACGATGTTGCGGTTGCAACTCTCATACCCAATCTGGAATATATATATACTATGGATGACTTCTCAAGCTCATTTTCTCCACTATCCTCTTAATAAAGTTGTTTGCCGGCAACGGAGACTTTTATTAACTTCCAGTGCGACTGCCTCAAGTTTCCACTGATTGGGGAAAATTACACTCTCTCTTTCTCTTCTGCCAGCACCTTTTCCATTCATCCATATGGCAACTGGCAGCGAATTTAATTGGATATCCAGGCGATAAACATGATCTTGTAGCTCTTATGGTGGATTTTAATTGAATTTTCAAACCCCATTTATCGCACTTATCGTCCGGTATTTGCATTTAATTAAATATCATGTCGCTCACTCATCCCTTCTGATCCTTTGATGAGAATGTAAAAATAGAATTTTGCTACTTCCCACCATATTATAGCATCGCATTCATATTAGCACAGGAAGACGAGCTGAAACTGTTGCAAAATCGATTTAAAAATCACTAAGAAATCACTGTTCTAAGAATTTATAGAGAAAGTTCCAATGAAAATGTGTTTTGGGGGTGTTCAAAATGGCGGACGGAATTTGATATCTCTAACTGTTTAAGGATTTTTCATCAGATTTCGTCATATTTGGCCTCTCTGATACCACTTTAGTCGATTTTGGCGAAATTGCGGTGTTGATTGATTACCCAGCACAAAGTAAAAAAAAAAAAATCTGACGAGAATTGCAAACAAGGCATCTCCATCACTAGCCAGCCAAAACCCTCCCCAATTTACTTACCATATGGATTAAGTGAAGACTATTACTTGGGAGATGGAATTGAATTCCCTTTTGCAAATGGCACAAAACTATACAGAGAGAGAGAGAGATGTGGAAAAGGTGACTCAGAAGGCCTCTGGGTGAGGGAAGAAATCAAATTGCGAATGTAAGTAACTTAGAGAGGAATTGTGGGTGGTGCGATGGGCGCCAAAAAAGCCTCACCCACACACAGGGACGAGAGTGCACAGATACAAAGCCCAATTACGCTGGCGGAGGTATTTTTTCTCCTCTGCCATGGGACGGTTTGAAGGGGAGCAGAAAAAAATCCCGAGCCGAGATGCCTCTGGGGTGCAGATTGGAGTGAAATTGAATTTCATCGCAGAGTGGAAGATTTTTCTCTGTTCTCGGATCCCTTTGATATTTTTCGGCGCATGCAATCTCTTCATTTCGCATGGCAATCATTTGGAAATTACTCCAGATATATATATATATACGAAGAGCCATGAGGACATTCAAATGCACCGAAGAGACACACACACACACACCATTTCGCATTCACTTCACACGAATGTGAAGAGTTTGGTTGACAATTTCCGACCAAGTCTTCATATGCTGGACTATAAACTGTCCCACTGAGGTTTTCTGATGCAGAGAGAGAGGGAAAAAAAGCACACACTATATAGACTCTCAGTTGGAATCTCTGTCATGGCGACAGGCGGAAGGAAAACGGCAAAAACACACGACCAACTTCCATCACCGATAAATACGCTCGCTCTCGCCATTCAGTCCATTTCATATAAATTGCACAGATGAATTTGTCCACTCTGATATGAATTTCCATTTTTTGCCCGCTCGCCTTGACCCTAATGCTCACCACAACTTGCCGAAATTACGCAGACAAGTCGTGATGGAGTCTGAAGGCTTTTGGGTTGAGCCATAATAGATTACGTGTTAGATCACTCCACGTTTATTATTAGAGAAGATTTTGCGATGTAATGAAGTTTTAAGGCAAAATGTGGCAATTCATACAAAAGGGGGCGGAGCGTACAAGTGGGAGGAGCTTTAACAGCATTAAGAACTGATTGTCTATCACGTCGTGCATCTCTTCTCTTCACAATGCTTCAAAGCACCTTTTTTTTCTTATCAAAATTGAAGTGTGAGAGACTTCAAAACTCTGACTTACCGTTTAGTGTCTATGCAGAATGTAATCAGCTTGTTAATTCCAGTGTTTGTCACACATGAACTTTCCTTCTGCATGGCAGCATTTCGGCACACCGACAATTAATATCGTGATAAAATGGAGAGTGTGTAGACCAAGGGTCGTGAGCACTCGCCTCAAATTCAATTTGCACTGAGGCATGTCATTTGCCTCACTATTGCTATAGTGAATTAATTAAGCGTGCAGCTTTCAAAGTCCCGCCTTTCCAGTCATTTATCTCCCACTTTCCACCATCCAGAGACAATCTCTCTTTTGGCGGAAACTTTCCAATTTCAGGCAGATGCATATAATTATTTCATTCCAATGATTTCACATGCAGACCTCTTTTTTCTCTCTATATCCTTTGGCTGAAAGTCTTCTCCATCAGGTGTGAGATTTGAGTTTTCTGCTTTTCCCCCCATGAAAAGCTTTTCTATGTTTCCTTTCTTTCAGAAATAGTATAGTGAATAATGCACAATTCAATCATGTATCTGAATTTTCTTCAACTTTCAGCTGATTTCAAATGCAAAATCACTCAAAATGAGTATAAAATGCACTTAAGGATTCCTTTCCTTTTCTTGTAATTTCACCATAGAGAAATAATGAGACCAAAACTCTTGTGACATTGCTGAGGTGAACTTTTGCCGTCTTGGCCTTTGATGATTGTTGTCAGAAAGTTTATGCCAAACAAGCGAGTCTTGCAAGCCAATGGGAAAGTCAAGGAAAAAACCCTTTTTTTGGTAAATACGTAACGTGCCTTTACCTCCTGACAGAATAGCAATAATTCCGGATGAAATTGCCCTCGGAGCACACGGAAATCCGTTTCACAGTTTATTTTCTTGGCATGTAGAAATTGACAAAATATTTTGTTGCTATTCCACACAGTCACGTTATATATTTCGTCCAATTTCACCCCTTCTCCCCCCCCCCCCCCGAAACACACCCAGCTTCATTCGCTTTCCTCTGGATGTTATTACTTGCAATTGATGTCGACATTTTTGCATTTGATTTATGTCACCTCGCGCGCGTCTTTCACCAGGAAAAATGCTCGGCAATGAATGTAAAACCACCCTGTAATCTCTGCTCTCACCCTCTGTGCAGACGGGGAAAAAATAAAGCTCACTTTATTGTATCTCTCCCCGTTTAGCATTGACGACACAATTCATGCTTTGCCAAGCGCTCATCCCGCGACGTGTGTCATTTTTTCCCCAATTTCAAGGCACTCTCGCTCGCTCACGATGGTATGTGCCGAGAAAGCCAAAAAGAGGGCCGCCCAGGATATTGCACACGGCGAGTGAAAATGGTCTGGCCAATTTTCCCCGTCCACGGAAAAAAAATCCGTCCACTTCATAAAAATGGAATTTGTGTTTCGATATTAATCTCCCTGTCTCGCTTGCACGGCGAATCCTTGGCGTGTGTTGTCAGCGCGCCCACATATGACTTTATATGAATCCTCCGGGGGGTGAGGGGAGAAATGCCAGACAAATTGGAGAGGCTCAATTTTAGGGGGTGCTTTTCACCAAACTGCCAAAGTGGTTTTCCACACTTGCTTGTGATGCGAAATTGAAGTTCAAGCATTATACGACATATTTCTCCAGACAATTTCAATGTATTTTCTTTCATTTGCTAGACTGGAAGTTGTTAGCAAAAAAATGAGGTTAAATGACAGATTTGTTCATTTAGAGAGAATTATGGTGAAATAATAAATCATATGGCAATTTAATTTACAAAATATTTAGTGGTTTTTAAAGTAAAATTTAATTGAACAAGTAAGCAAGAGACTATGAAGGATTTACGGAAAGCATTATGTGAAATTGAATGCATGAATGATGACTTTAATATTTAATTTAATTGGATTTTGTGTTCATTTTTCGTTCGCGATTTATTTCATCCCCGAAATCTCGTCATAT